GAACTGGATCTGACCTTTAGAGCAAGATTGAGTCAGTGCATGGCATGGACTCGCCGAGTCCGAAGAACAGACTCGGTGAGTAGCATGAATGTTGCCCGACCACTCTGTGAGTGGCCTCGCCGAGTTGGGAAAGGTGAACTCAGTGGGTCATGGGGGAGTCAGAATGGACAGGTGGACCGAGTCAAACTGGACTCGCCGAGTTGTTCTTGAGACTCGGCGAGTTGAGTCGTGGTCGCCCCACAACTCGAGCCAGGTGGAACTCGTCAAGTTGGGGGGAAATGCTCGATGTGTCAGGGGAGGGTTCCAGGGAAATTGGTGCATGCGCTCAGACTCGCCGAGTCGCTATAGTGCACTCGCCGAGTCCGGTCAAAGTTGACCGTTGACCGTTGACCATCGTTGACCTAGATTGACTTGTTATAGTGTGGTCAACCCTAGTTGGGAAAGTGTTAATTAGAGGTGTATTGTGCTATAGGGGGACGACAGCTCGACAGGTCGAGCGATTAGCGATTTCAGGTTTACGATTTACCGAGACACGCGAGGTGAGTCTTCTCACTATACTTTACCTTGAGTAGGTAATCAGAGTTATGTGATAGAGTATTTGTATGCTATGTATGTTATGTGTTGCATTGCATTACTTCTATGTGATTGATGCTGTGCATGTTTACAGAGTTAGAACCGGAAGGTTCACAGAGTTAGAACCTGAGGGTTCATAGAGTTTGGGTGCACGGACCCACAGAGTTATAGCCTCGAGTGGCTAATATGTGTTATATGTAGTATTTTGGGGAACTCACTAAGCCTTGTGCTTACAGTGTTGATGTTATTGTTTCAGGTACTAGTGACGACCGCGGGAAGGCGCCGGCTTGATCCGTACACACACATATTCCGAATTCAAGCTCTGATTTTGGATTTCCAAAATCAAATTTTGTTTTCTATTGTTCTGACTGTGATAGCAATTCTGATTCCTCAAGCAATAGTTCTGATTGGATTCTGATTTCTGTTTCGTTTTTGATTTTCAGAGTGAAACCTCTGATTGCAAAATCTTCCAAAAGCGAGACTGAACTGCGACATCCAATTCCAATTCTGATTAAACAAATCCGATTGCCAAAATCCCATAAAGATAGAGTGATCTGATTTGAGACATCGAAATCCGATTCCGAATAATTCCGACGATCGGAGCTGTTCGGAATAAGAACGATGACCCGCTTGCAAACAACGAACGTTCAATGTCTCAATTCCGATTGTAACTTTATCTGTGACCACAATTCCGATTGTCACCCTTATATTTCAATAAAAGGACAATTTCAACTCCTTTTTGCAGCTTTTGTCAGATTTCATCCCATTTTATTACCTCTTTTTTTACGTCTTCTACACAATTTGAACATGACAGCAGCTTTTTGTACTAGATTCGACAATTCCAACCATTTAGAACTCAATAAAAATTGATTTTTTTCAAAAGAATTTCATCCCTTTCTATTTTTTTTAATCTTTATGAAGCTTTTAGAATCCATTTAAGATTTAAAACCAGAGATAACCCTTTGCACACTCATTGCTTTGGAGAAAAACACTTTAAGAAAATGATATTAGCTTCTTAGTTGGAAAACAAAAGTTACCAAATATCTCATTAAACTAACCACAAACCTTTTTCTCTTTTCTCCAACTTCTAACACCTCCATCTGAACAAAAGTGAGAATTGAATCTTCTTTCAACATGTCTGGCTTGTACTTTCTGAACTTTTTCACAAACATGAGGGTCTTGTACATTTGGTATCTAAACCTTTTTCACCTTATTCTTCTTCTTCTTCCTCTTTCTTTTTAGATTTTGAGACTTCAAATATGATTTTCGGATCTGAACATGTTCATCACATTTCGTGATCTGAACATTAGGAGTATTTTGAACACAAATCTGAACATCTTGAATAATAGGCTTTTTGTAAGGCATCATTCCTTCAAAATCATCATTAGAACATGAAAAATCTTATGTTTGAGTTCCAATAGAACAAAACACCTTTACTTTCACGATTTCAGAAGATTTGCTTTGCGATTCACTATTTGAAACACCAGATTCAGAATGTAAGGCTTCTGAAAAACTTGAACACTTGACTCCCCCTCAACAAGAACATCTGGAGTCACCTTTTCTTCAGAAACTTGATGAACTTTATTAACTTTATCAAGAACATCTTTTTGAATAGCATCTTCTTTTCTTTTTCTTTCTTTCTTCTATTGTTCTTCTTTCTCCCGTTCCAAATGATTTTTGATAATACGAAATTGTTCCAACAAAGGCTCATTATCATCCAAAAATTTCACAATTCATTTTTCTATATTATGAAAATATGCATGTTTATCAAACGTTCCATCTACATAGAGATTATACAAATCAATGGCATTTTGCGAATATTTTATCATACCATATATAAGATAGCAATGATCTGTATTTAAAAGACTAAATTTTGGATCTGTAACTTTCATGCCTAGTTCTTTAATCGAAGTTAACAACTTTGAAACTGATGAATCCATCATATCTTCAACAAGAAATATAAAATTCAAAGAGAGAGAAAATAGATATGATAAGATTTTAGAGAGAGAAAATGAATTTGAGATGATTTCTAGTGAGAGAAAATGAATCAAAGCAAAAATATGAGTATAAAATTCGAATTTCTTCTTTTATTTCACTTTCAAAACTTGAATCAAGAACAAATCAGATGATAGAATGTGTAGAAATAACATATATGAATTGAGTTGTGCAAAAATAAGAGATATTTCATTTTTCTCTTCAGAAAACCTATAAAACATGAAGAACATATTAAGATACATGAATAAATATCACCATATTTGATTGATTCTTGCAATAATCGTTGAGATCTACAAGAATCCGCTCTGATACCACTTGTTAGGAAGAAAATCGAAATGACGAATACGGAATATGAAGAACAATCATGAATCAATCACAATAAACTTGCAAGTAATTTGTCAAAGGTTTTGTATATTATTGATTTCGAATTGAACGTACAAAGAAATCTTTATTGGAAAAATCTTACATTACAAGCTAAGCTAATGACTATATATAGGGAATATAAATCATTTACCAAAAACACAAAACCATAAATAGTCTTCCATAATCAACCATAAATTCCAAATCAGTTTGAATATCTCAAATACTCAACAAGTTCTATGAGTCTACGACTTAATTTACCAATTTATGTAAATCACTAGCATATGTAGTACTCCCATGCCATCACAATACATACACACTAACAACCAATGAGTAAGGTGTATTTACCTTAATCATTACATTTCCCAAACTGTGTGAAATAAATTTATGGTGTCCTATATTATAGTATTGATTTTTAATCTTCTGCTTGGTCAACAATTCAATTTACACACTTAAGTAATAATCCCACTTTAAGTCCCTAATTTCCATAACCTATGACAATAATAACATTCTAATATTTATAATCTTAGTTAAATGCTAAGACTTTAAAGGCAAGAAAATTATACCTCAGACAAGAAAGTTGCCATGCTGCCACGATATAGTATTTCTTCTTTCTTAATCTATCGTCTGCACCAAGGGTCACTAATGTCTTCCATTTTACCTCACCGGAGTTGGGATTCATGAAAATATGAACTAGATAAAGGATTGAAGAAACATTCACTCACATGTCTATCTCTAGGAGCTCGTTGGAGCTATCTAATCATGTCATTGGTGACCATCAGCAAACCAAGCACTCCATTGTAACCCACATCGCGGGAATGTAAGGTATTATCACCGAAGAACTAGTACAAACAGAACATATGCAAAATCACCCCCATATATACATTGATCCATATTATCCTCCCTTTTTCTCCATGGTTTCTCATAGTTCCAGATCTAAACCTTCGATATAGCTCTTTATCATCCCATTCATGAGATTTCTCTTTCCTCTTGATCCTCGTATATGTTGTGCAACCTTACAACCATGATGTTTCAATACATAGGTATATATATATATATATATATATATATATATATATATATATATATGTATATGTATATGTATATGTATATATATATGGAAATGATCAAATGAGAACACCTAAAAGGTTGAGAACGCGAGAACAGTTCTGAACCAATCAAAAGATAAGGGCATATAGGTAAACTGTCATTTAATTAAATGAGATTTTTCTAAATTTTTAGGATTCTAATTGACTGTTATCAAAAAAATATTTTTTCCCATTTTCTTTATATCATTAATGAAAGAGAAAAAAAAAGCTATCAATTTAAAATGATTTATCTTGCTTTACGTGATTATTGTCCATAAATGAATAAATATCAAACTAATTTATTGAGTATACAATTGATTAAAAATATATAACAGTTAACCAATTTTGTAATTTAATTTTGTCAAATAGTATCATATTCATAACTAAAAATGTCATGACTGGATTTGTCTTTTTTTTTTTTTTTGTTCATGAATTGATATAAAAAAATGTTTAAGAATTCATCATTTCGTTGCAAATGAATACGCTTTTTATTACAATCATAAATGAATACAACTCTAATCATACATGAATAAATTTACAAGAATACAAAAAACATCTAAATTCCTATATTTTCAGTAGTTATATTCATATAAGATTATAATGTGAATCATAGATGAATTACTACAACATTGTTTTTTTCTTCATATTTTCTTGCTGCTATCATACATATATAAACGAAGAGGGATGCCCTTGATCCTGCTATCAATTTCCATGCTTTAAGGTTATCCTTATTAAAAACATCAAGCTCTAAATTACACCTATTCAAAATATAAATCATTAAGATATGAAATCATGTAATTATAATATACTTATATTCATTGATGTTTAACTACAAATGAGACATTTGACATTGTATTCATATTAGATTACAAGTGAAACATTATCTAAAAAACATTGTTCTAATCATTAATAATTAATCAATCTGTAATACTGATTCACATCTATTACCCTCGTTTTCTTTTTCCTTGTTCTTTTTCAAATGAATCAACCAAAACAAAAACCAAACATGTTTTTACCCTTCTTCTTCCTTCCTATGAAGTTACACGCAAGAAAACTTTTTGTAAACCCATCGGTCTCTATTGGAAAATCAAAGCCAAACACCCATCATTAAGCCCCATTGATTTACAGTCAAATTAAAAGTAAAAGAAAAAAAGCGTTACCCGGTGAACTGCCCTTGTCGTGACCCATCGATTTCTGTTGATAGATCGTTGTTACTGCCTGTTTCTTCGTCCCCTCGGACCTTCCTCTTCTTCTATCGAGCACCACGGCGAAAACCCTCGTCGGAGCTGCTGTTTCCGTTTGCCTTGCTCCATCGGGCCAAATGTTCTCCTCCCCTTCGCATATGCTACCAGAATCGAAGGAGAAGTAGCCAAAAACTGCTTGAGCAGCCCTTGTTGCACCTACCGAGACCAATGATGATGGGAACAGATCTTCGTGGTGGGTTGTACGTGATGCCCAGATCGATGATGGCGTGAGTTTTAGGAAACCCTAAAAAGAAGAGGTGGAAATATGTACACGATAGATTAAATGAAATATATGAACGGGTAAGAAATTATAGGAGATAGTAAAGTTGAAATTCCTGTTATGTCCTTCTAACCATTTAAAAGTTACATTTTAATGCCAACTGTTTAAGAATTTTTCATAAATCCCCCTTTTAATAATGACCTTAGATTTAAGTATTTAAATGATCCAAATTTGTTATCACGTTTTCAACCTTTTTAGTGTTCTCATTTAATCTTTTGTTCATTCCACAAGGTGTAGGTTTAAATTCAATGTTATACTTATTATCCTTCAGGTTTTGTCAATTGATCACAATATACCCTCTCACTTGCATATAAATTAAACTAAACCCTCAAATATATGTATTTTATGTTAATTAACTATTATATGACCTTTTTAACTGATAAAATTCTAAATAATCTCTATTTCTAATAATTTAATTATCCTAATATTTATATTTCTGTTTTTTAAATAACTAAACAGAAAACAGGATGTTACAAGTAATGACTGTAGATATTTATCACTCGTATATATATATATATATATATATATATATATATATATATATATATATATATATATATATATATATATATATATATATCGCTTTGAGAATTAACAGTTATAGTACTATAGGTATGCTAAGTGTTCAAACTTAGATATTGAATAGTGTCTTACTATAAAGCCCTTAACTAATGTACGTAAATCCCCCGATTTATTTTGTACGTGGATAAGTACTCGGGACGTAAGAGATTGAAAAGCACTAACTTATATGACGATAAGTCACTAGATGAAAAGATTTATGTTTCAATAAGTTTACAAAAGCCAAGTATGATTGATAAGTAGATATGTAAAAGTGTAATAAGTACATGTATAAACTCCATGATATAATAATTATAACTTGTATAAAAATGTATTTAAACACATACACACACAAACACACTCTCACACACATACACACACACACACACACACACATATATATATATATATATATATATATATATATATGTGTGTGTGTGTGAAAGACAAAACATGAAAATTAATCTAGAATGTCGATTATGTCCCTGTTTTAAAAAAATTATAGAAAAATAATCAGGAGTAGTAATTAGGTTCCATAAACTCTCCAGGTTTAGAACATGAGTCTACTTCGTCCCTAATTTTTGCATTGACCTGACATAAACCCTAACTAAGGTGTAAATGATCGGTTTTTCATACTGGTCCATAAAGGACTTCAATGATATGCACTTTTGCAAAAATCATAATAAATTGTATAAAATTCTTTTGAATGTGTATGAGTAGTAATTGAAAATGTATCAATCTTGCTAGATGCATACAAAACAGTTTTGCAAATCATAGGGTTTAAAATGGGAAAAACAAGTCTTGAATGGACCACAAATTTTCACATAAAATCATAGCATTTTGTAGTATGTTTTCAAGAGTGTTTTTGCACAAACGAAATATTTGAGGACATGTATTACCCCTCCCCCTGGAAATATGTAAAAACTATAAAACAGTTCCGTTAGCACTCATCTTAATGTGTGATTGTTCGGTTTTGACTCGAGAATGTGATTTGATCTTCAGGAAGCACTGCGGAGGTGACACGATCTAATTATTGGATTAGTGTCTAAGTCCATAACTATTTTGGTATGTACTTGACCCGATGGTGCATGGTCCTTTTGGGTTGCCTTCACCAAAGCAACTTGATTGGAGAAATAAATAAAGAGAGAGAGGTTATTATGATTTATTAATATGTTATAAGAATAATATATTAAAGGAGAAATCATATTTGCTTAATTAATATTGGTCAATAATTAATTAGGAATTAATTTTGTGATCAAGTGTAATTAATTAAACTAGAGGGGATGATTTGTAATTATGTGATAGTTACAAAATAAGGTAAGGATTATCTTATTATTAGGTTGGACGAATTTAAGGTGATAAGGCCTTAGAATTCGACTATGATAAGGATTCAAGGATTATCTTATGGGTTGCTTTGTGGATAAGCAACTAGATAAGGATAATGACTGAAACCCTATCTCTACACCTATATAAAGGCCCTAAGGCTCATGAATTCGTGTATCCCTTCCCAAGAAGTCCTAAGGACGAATTCTATCCTCTCTCTTCTCTCTTTATACCTTCTCCATTTGCTCTTGGTGTTTGTAAGCCATTAGAGGAGTGACACTTGTGACTCTAAGCATTCCAAAGTCAATTCAAGGTGGAATTAGGATTGTTATTGCTATATAACAATCAAGGTATGTTCTTAAACCTTATTATATGTTAATATCGTTTTCCATATGCTAGTATTAGGGTTTGAAGTCTTGGATTCAAAGCATGTATAATAGAGAAACCTAGATCCAAGCATTAGGGTTTGTATGAGCACATAGGATGTCTTATGACCAAAACCCATCACTAATAACAATCTTTCGAACCGATTTTGGACTTAAAATACTTCACATAAAACAATAAAATTGAGACTAGGACTTAGGAAACACACCAAAAAAACAAATAGAAACACAAGGTCGCACAAGGTGGTGGTGGCTGAAGGTGGTGATGGCAATGGTGGGGCTGTTTTCTAGCAGCCTTGTTACCTCGCTTTGTCTCCTATTTTGGTAGCGAACGAAAAGGGAAGAGGGGAGGATGAAAAGGCAGGTGGTAGGGGATGTTTTGTTTACCTTTGTTTTTTTTGTTCTCTTTTATAGCTGAAATTTCAAGTGGTAGATATCTTGGAAAATGGAAGGGCATTAATGACCATTCAATTCTAAAGATTTGATGGAACGATTCTTTATCAACTTTCTGAAAAAGCTGCACTCATGTCACTGTTTAAACTATTTTCTTGTTTAACTAACTCAATTGTTTGCATTCTTATATTGTTTATTAAATTGTACCATTCTTTTTTAAAAGGAATATGATGATGGAAACTCTAAGCCTAGTATGCAACTGTTGACACATCATTATCCCTAGAAGTATGTTGTTGTATGTGACTAAATCTCTTTAAGTTTCTCATCAGCGAGACCATCTGTTGAGAACATTAAGTCTCCCACTCATTCTGACTGTCTAGCATTGTTTAAACTTTCAAAGTGAGATTGTCTGGTCCTAATCAGAAAAATTATTATAGGCTTGGGTGTTTATTTTCTTTGTTAATCATCTCGCACCTGACCCTGTCGCTGGAAGCATGCTTGTCATATCCATCAAGTCTCATGTTCTGCTGAAACATTGAGCAAAACCCAATGGCTTACCTTGATTGCATAGTCATAAGCATAAGAAATACTTGTTTGATCCTTAAATGACACAGGGTTATTCATGTCCCTAACCTCCTAGACTGAGGTATGACATGATACCATTATGAATTAATGGTGAATCTTTGATTCTAGATTGCAACTTACTCTATGATATGAAAGTTTAAACCACTTCTTATTGATGAGTTAAACTGTTAATGATCCATGCTCTAAGTCTTCTAATATAGAACTTGATGATTCACTATGTAAAACCACACACTAATAAAAGTTTGAAATTCTGTGTCGATGGTTATACTATGTACCGTAGGCTATCATATGTACCAATCCATTCTTGCCCTTATATTATTCTTTAAAGTTTTATCATTCAACATAATGTACCATATACTGATAAGGACTTCGTGCCGATTCCTTAGGATGATCCTTAGGAATGTATGAACGAGGAATAGTTGATTCTTAGGGTAGATCCTTAAGAATAAAGCAGATAATAGGGATGGGTAATTGGATTGATTGTTTGATTGTTTGAAAATAATAATTATATTATTGTGGGTTGAAAACCCTATGTACTCACCAGGTTTCCCAACCTGACCCACTCAGTTTATTTATATCACAGGTGTTGATATGAAGTCACATTACACTGAGAGATTTAAAGAGATGTAGATCACTAGTGTAAATAAATGTAAGTTCTGTTTATGCTTATGTTTCTGTATTAACGATGACATCCCAAATGTTTTAAAAATGAACAAAATACGTTTCTTCGAAAATGTGTTAAAAACGTATTTATCATGTTTTTTTGGGAACAAATTCCGCAACATTTTTATTAAAAGAAGTACTCTGATTTTTATAAAACATAAACAAAAATCGGTCTTTTCTGGCCGTGAAAATGGGGATGTCATACCTAGCGTACTACCAAACTCTCAAACTTAACTTCAAACAACCATAATTTCTTCGTTTCAACTTTATTTTCGACGTTCTTTATATGTATGAAAATGTATTGAAGAACCCCACAATTCTATCTAATTACTTTTAACTTAAAACATACCGAACTAAAATCTTTATTCCAAGAAAGTAGTCTTAACCAGCACTTTTTCCGTTTATCGTTTGACTCCAAAACACAAACCAATGGCTCAGATTGTATAATCAATATTATCAACGTCCAATAAAGTCTAAGCCCGAAGTCTTTACTTCATCTATTTATTATCTATAATCCCGAAATAAAAAACTTCTCTAAACAAAATATTACATCTAATTATATAAATCATGTCATGGCCACACTTTCTAACCCACAAACCCACAACTTGTAACACTATTGCCCCTCTGGTTGTTGTGTTTGGGTTGAAAATGGGTTCAAAAATGCCCCTTTTGAATCCCATAAAGAAAGGGGAAGTGATTCGTACACAACAATTTTTTACCATATACAACAATTTATGCATTATTAAGTTGTACTGTATAACATTTTAAAGCACTAATTGTTGTGTATTAAGAAAAATTGTTGTGTACAAATCATCCCTGAAGAAAGTTATAGCATGATTTGTCACTGTAAACGGTATGTAGACGATGTGTTTTGGTTATTTTTGTAATGAAAGCATGTGCTACTTTTTTTAACAACCATGGCTAATTTGGTAAATCTTGCGAGTAACAATACCCAATAATCAGGGAACAGATGAGACTGACATTTCACATTTGCTTGGACGAAAATTAATGATATGACGTAAATATCCCGCATCTTGCCACGGTTCACGATCATTCTTCCACCATGGAGACGTGGTTCATCATCGTCGTTTCACTCTGCGTTGCCGCCCTTATCAGGTCCCTTCTCTTCCGCCGGAGCGACGCCGACGGCAAGAAGCTACCACCAGGGCCCTCTCTCATATCCTCCAACTTCATACTGCTAACCAATTCCCTCTCGGAATTAGAACCCATTCTCAGAAAATTCAAGTCCAAGTATGGACCACTCATCACTCTTTCCATCGGTTCTCGTCCTTCCATCTTCGTCGGAAACCACTCCCTCGCCCACCAAGTCCTCATCCAGAAGGGCGCTGTCTTCTCCGACCGCCCTAGAACACTCGCCGTACGTAACATCTCCTCATCCGCCTACGGCCCTACTTGGAGGGTCCTCCGTCGAAATCTTGCCTCCGAAGTCCTACACCCCTCCCGTGTGAAGTCCTACTCCTGGGCTCGTAAGTGGGTCCTTCAGATACTTCTTGGTCGCCTCCGGGAGCAAAAGGAGGCCGCCGGAATCAAGGTGATTGATCATTTTACATACGCCATGTTCTGTCTGTTGGTACTTATGTGTTTTGGAGAGAAACTTGACGAGAATCGTATCAATGAAATCGCAACCGTACAGCGCCGGTTGCTGTTGTTAGTCGGCTCCGGTCGTTTTAACGTACTGGGTATTTTTCCAAGATTAGGGAAGATATTGTTTAGAAACAGATGGAAACAGCTCTTGCAAATACGCGAAGATCAAGAACAAGTGCTGATTCCACATATTAAATCTCGAATCGAAAGTGCTAATTCCGAACCACAATCAGTTGGAGACGAACGAATCGTGGCGTATGTCGACACACTGGTTAATATACAGCTTCCAGAGGAAGAAGCCAACAATGAAAATGGCGGAAAGCTGACTCAGAAAGAGATGGTGAGTATGTGTGGCGAGTTTCTTAACGCCGGCACAGACACCACCTCTACTGCTCTACAATGGATCATGGCCAATCTCGTGAAGCATCCTGAAATTCAGAGCAAGCTATATAATGAAATCATTTCAGTCGTCGGACCACCACCTCCACCGCCGCCACCAGGGGTAGAACTAGAATCTGTTATAAACGAAGAGGACTTAAAGAAGATGCCATACCTGAAAGCGGTGGTTCTTGAAGCGTTGAGGAGACACCCACCAGGGCATTTCGTGTTGCCCCATAGGGTCACAAAGGAGATGGAGGTGCAAGGGTTTACGATTCCACAGGGTGCCACCATTAATTTCATGGTGGCTGAGATGGGTTTGGATCCAACGGTCTGGGATAATCCCATGGAGTTCAAACCAGAGAGGTTCATCAATGGTGATTTCGATATAACTGGAAGCAAAGGGATAAAGATGATGCCATTTGGTGCAGGAAGGAGGATATGTCCCGGCTCTGATTTGGCTCTGCTTCATTTGGAATATTTTGTTGCCAATTTGATTTGGTATTTCCATTGGAGTCCTCCTGATGGTTGTCATGTTGATCTCTCTGAGAAGGTGGAGTTCACCATTGTCATGAAAAAACCTCTGCAAGCACGAGTCTCTTCAAGGACAGAAAACGCAACATCTTGAGTTTGATTATTCAATACATGCATAAATCGTAGTATGTCCAAATTGCACACAAATAAGAACCACTTTAATCTGCATGTATGAATTTGTCCCTATTCAATCCTTTTAATATTGGAAAAGTCATCTGCATTTATGACTATGCTTCTACAGTAGATATTACTCAACCCTGTTATGTCTGTGATTGTATGATTGTATCTTTTGCCCATTATGTTTAATATTGATTAGTTTTCGTTAAAAAGAGTATTATTCAACTATCATGTAAAATCAATGGAAGGCAATACCAAACTGGATATTAGATATAGCATATGTTATCACTATGTTGGCCAATACACTCACTCTTGGCTATGAATATTGGAATGGTGTTAATTAATTATTAGAGTAAAGTACACGAATGGTCCCTATGGTTTGGGGTAATTTGCGTACTTGGTCCCTAACTTATTTTTTTAACTCGGAAGGTCCCTATGGTTTGTTTTTGTTACGTGTTTGATCCCTACTGTTTATTTTTGTTACACGTTTGGTCCCTGTGTTATCTAAAAAGACTATTATTTAAAGAGGAAAAAATGATGGGGTAGGTGAGATAAGGTGAGGAGGTGGGATTAGGGGTATGTTTATTTAAATAAATTAAAAAAATCAAGGGCATAATAGTCTTTTTAGGTAAGATAGGGACCAAGCGCGTAACAAAAACAAACAGTAGGGACCTTCTGAGTTAAAAAAATAAGTTAGGGACCAAACGCGCAAATACTCTAAACCATAGGGACCATTCGTGTAATTTACTCTAATTATTAAGATATGTTACGATTAATGTTTGTTTTTTAAGATTTTATTATTATTATTATTAGAGTAAAGTACACGAATGGTCCCTATGGTTTGGGGTAATTTGCGTACTTGGTTCCTAACTTATTTTTTTAACTCGGAAGGTCCCTATGGTTTGTTTTTGTTACGTGTTTGATCCCTACTGTTTATTTTTGTTACACGTTTGGTCCCTGTGTTATCTAAAAAGACTATTATTTAAAGAGGAAAAAATGATGGGGTAGGTGAGATAAGGTGAGGAGGTGGGATTAGGGGTATGTTTATTTAAATAAATTAAAAAAATCAAGGGCATAATAGTCTTTTTAGGTAAGATAGGGACCAAGCGCGTAACAAAAACAAACAGTAGGGACCTTCTGAGTTAAAAAAATAAGTTAGGGACCAAACGCGCAAATACTCTAAACCATAGGGACCATTCGTGTAATTTACTCTAATTATTAAGATATGTTACGATTAATGTTTGTTTTTTAAGATTTTATTATTATTATTATTATTAGAGTAAAGTACACGAATGGTCCCTATGGTTTGGGGTAATTTGCGTACTTGGTCCCTAACTTATTTTTTTAACTCGGAAGGTCCCTATGGTTTGTTTTTGTTACGTGTTTGATCCCTACTGTTTATTTTTGTTACACGTTTGGTCCCTGTGTTATCTAAAAAGACTATTATTTAAAGAGGAAAAAATGATGGGGTAGGTGAGATAAGGTGAGGAGGTGGGATTAGGGGTATGTTTATTTAAATAAATTAAAAAAATCAAGGGCATAATAGTCTTTTTAGGTAAGATAGGGACCAAGCGCGTAACAAAAACAAACAGTAGGGACCTTCTGAGTTAAAAAAATAAGTTAGGGACCAAACGCGCAAATACTCTAAACCATAGGGACCATTCGTGTAATTTACTCTAATTATTAAGATATGTTACGATTAATGTTTGTTTTTTAAGATTTTATTATTATTATTATTAGAGTAAAGTACACGAATGGTCCCTATGGTTTGGGGTAATTTGCGTACTTGGTCCCTAACTTATTTTTTTAACTCGGAAGGTCCCTATGGTTTGTTTTTGTTACGTGTTTGATCCCTACTGTTTATTTTTGTTACACGTTTGGTCCCTGTGTTATCTAAAAAGACTATTATTTAAAGAGGAAAAAATGATGGGGTAGGTGAGATAAGGTGAGGAGGTGGGATTAGGGGTATGTTTATTTAAATAAATTAAAAAAATCAAGGGCATAATAGTCTTTTTAGGTAAGATAGGGACCAAGCGCGTAACAAAAACAAACAGTAGGGACCTTCTGAGTTAAAAAAATAAGTTAGGGACCAAACGCGCAAATACTCTAAACCATAGGGACCATTCGTGTAATTTACTCTTATTAAGTTAGGGACCAAACGCGCAAATACTCAAATGCGGATAATGATCCTAATTAAAATTTTCCAAACATTTAGTGGATTAACAGAGACATTTTCATGTCAAAGTGTCACAACAGATATCAGAAAAAGGTTTAATAAAACATTGCGAACCAAAGGTCTTCTAAATATCCAAAGCTTAAAAGTCTTATAAGCTTCTTACAATATCTACTAACCTACAAAAGTTTATAAACAAGTGTTAAGTTATGAGGAGCCTAATAAGTATGATCCCCGGGTTAGACACTATAGATAGTGTGTGAATGACCACTTTGGTTCATACACCAATGCACACCCTATATCTTCTCAAAACAACAAAACCATTAATTATCAATTTGGGGGCAAAAACATATCTTTTAACAAAGTACATTGTCCTTTATGACAATTTCCTTAGAAACTTCACTGTCATATAAACAATACTAAGTGAGTATACCTCAAGTAGTACCTTTGAATGATTAAAATGCTCATGTGAGCTACAACAGTATAGAAGTAGTTAAACAAATAAATGCTCATGTGAGCTACAGCAGTATAGAAACCCAATTTAAAAAAAACCAATGTTTCCAAAACATCCAAAAAGCATATATATCGACTTGAGTTCAAAATCCAAACATAACGGAAGGGTTTCATATATCCATAAGGGTTTCTTAAAACATTTATATTTCCAAAAAGAGAAAAGTAAATCCCAAAATATACAAAATGGGTAAAACAAAATCAATCTCAAATAATTAAGATGCAATGTATGCATGTAACATCCTAAAATATAAAGTAAAATTTTTATTTTTAGCATAAAGTAAAACCATTGGATATCGTTCCAAATGAAAAATATTCAAATCATGAGTATATAGTTCAAATAAATTATCATAGTGAAATCATAAAAATGGATAGTTCGGAATCTTTGGTTGATGCGATGCAATTAAGTCGGACTTTTCCATTTGATACGAGAATTACCTGAAATATTTAAAACTTAAATCGTAAGCACACAACTTAGTGAGTTCCCCAAAATACCAAATATAACACGAGAATAGGCCCCACCATGCATAATGGACCCCATCATAAATAATGGGCTCTACCCTGAGTATTGGATCGCATCCTAAATAATAGGCCCCGCCCAACATAGCATAATAACAGGCCCCACCCGACCAACATATAGACATACTAGCAAGAGTCACAAAGATAACAAGCATAAAATGACATATTGTATCTAATCATAGTATAGTGCACAAACTCACCTCCCAGTCAAAGTAGAGAAATACCACAACTCATAGGAAACATAAAGGCTGGTACTCTAAAGGTCAAAAAGTCAACAACTTGGTCAAACAAGCACCCTGCGCCTCATAAGGATGCCTTACGCCCATTAAAAGACAGAAAAATAGGGTTTCTCGGCTTAAACAGGCTTGTTCCAGATAATTCAAAAGGAGCGTCGTGACTAAACCATATTCTTAAGGCAAAATGACTTATTCCATTAAGTTCATCCCCCAAACTTCCGAATCTGGTCTTCATGAACATTTTATTAATGGATAAAGTTTCCAACTTTATCCATTAAGACACTCCAATCCAACAAGATCTAAACATTAAACATCAAAAAGACTTAAAATATCAACACATCTTTCATGGTTTAGAGAACATGCATGAGATACAAAGTTTCCAAGTCCAATAGTCTATATAACAACTCTAATTATTCAAAAGGAGCTGGAGACATCTAAACCCCAAGCTCACCACCAAAATGGGACCAAAAGTTTATAAATTGGATAATAAGCAAGATCTAGCAAACAAGAAAGAAAGCTTGAAGATTTATACTCACAAAGGTCCAAGAAAGGTGAAATTTTGTTAGATCTACACTTGCTCTTCACTTCAATTCTCTAACTGAAATCTTGATCTTCAATCTCCATTCACAAATTAAATAAAAATAAGCTCTCAAGGTGAAACCAAGCTTAAAATGGGAGGAGATGGTCTAGGGCTTCTAAGAACACTCTATAGAGATGATGGAGGTTGTAAATGATCCAACCCTAGAGGCTTAAGGTGGTGTTTTTTTTGTATGCATATCTCCTTATCTTCTTATCTTCTTCTGTCTGCACCATACAGATCACACACAACCATTAGCCTTCACATACTGTTTTTTTTAAGACTGCAAACCAAAAAAAGTTTGTACATCCTCTTCTTGGGGCATATATGAACCAGAGTCTTCAGACATCTTATAGCCTAAAAACACACACATATCTTTGTTTTTTAAACTTGTATTTATTCCAAATTCATCTGTGTCAAACAATTTGGAAAAAAAAATTGCAATACTTCAAGAAAAAAAAGGTTAAGGATACAAACATAACCTTTTTGAAAAAATTATAAATAAAGATTTAATTACAATAATGGTTGTTGAAGCTATTTATATAGATATGAAAAATCCTAATGTTGTCTTATATTTTTTGTATCTAATTTTATAAAACATTATTTAACAACATGCAGGCGTTAAAAACCAAAAAAATTTCTTATTTTAGACTGCAGACGTTTGGTCCACCTCTGCTACTGTAGAGGTCTATAGATGTGGTCCGCGGATTGTAAACATTTTGTCTCAGAAAAAACAAGCAACACCTAAGTGTGTTTAAATAGCCCTAAACCCTGATAAATCGTACAACCCTCTAAGCTAGAAGCATGTCAAGCTCATTAAGAGGTGCTTCATGCTTTTGCGATTAATTCTGAACTTTTCAACAAATACGATAACTGGCTTACTACTTCACCTCATCCTTCTACTTTCTTATGGACGATAAAATCCTTAATTATACAGTGGAAAAAACATAATCGACACTTGG